CTTTATTGCACAGTACTTTCCTTATCGCTCTGTAACACAGTACGACAGTGGTATGTCAATCAGCATTGGTCTCAGGCTAACAGTCACAGTGCATTACGTATCACTCTGTGTGGTTCCATAAATAAAAATAATAATAATAATACAACAGAATTTTTATAGCTTGATGTGATCGTATAGTGTATATTACCTAATATATTCTAGTACATTACAAAGCCTTAGGCTACATTGTATTCACATTTGCACAATCAAATATATCTCCATATGCACTGACATTATACTGGTGAAACCACCCCTCAGTAATCTGTTTTACAATATGAGAAAAGATGGAAAAGCCACATTCACCATTTAGCATGAGGTGAGCATAAACACAGCACAGGTATACATCATACACACCTAATCAACAGGCTGCTTCACTAAACTATGAGCTAGCCAAACTAGCGTGAGCTACTTAACAGAACAGTTAAAAAGGGCTGCTCACGCAGACAAACAATAATATGCAATAAAACATCATGAAAACTAACACAGAAATGCATAGAATATTACCTGTACCACAGTACGACAGTGGTATGTCAATCAGCATTGGTCTCAGGATAACAGTCTGAATAAAACATGGAACAGGTGCAAATAATTATGCTAGGTTAACACTGACAATGTACGTTTCAGTAAGTCTCTAAAATATCATTTTAAAGACTAGATAGCTTATAGTCTGGGCTCAAGACAGTTAGCTAAAGTCAATATATGTACATTACACGGTAAAATACAAAGTATGAACATTTGGAATCTCACAAAATTATTAATTATCCCAGACCATGCGAGAGAACGTGACCTACCACAGTGCATTCCGTATCACTCCGCGTAGCTCCATAAACGCCAACCCACAATGTCATGGCTACTGCCGTGCCAGTAGATGGCACTGTTGCCCCACTTTTGCCATAATTAAACCAAGTATATTCTACTCCGTTACACATGCTAAATTAAAGCTGCACTAATCAGTACTTTATACTTTGTGTGATGTGAAAGGAGTTGCTCATAGTGACCAACTCACTAAGAATTGCAACCTGAATCTGTAGTTCCCCTCAGCTTTAAAAGAGTCTTTGAGCTCATTGTTTTGGTTGGACTTTGCTGCTTTGTTCACTCTTGCTGCTGTCTTGGTTGGTGTGATTTGTATTTGTTGTCTCTCAATAGGCCTGTGTAAGCCAGAGTTCACACTGTCCCTGCCCCACTGCGAGATTATCTCTACACATCGTTTCTCACTGACAGTTTGTGTGATTAATAGCTGTCAGCGTTAGTCCTGGATGCTCTGAATTCCAACACCTCTGTCCTAATGAAAACCACCTCTGCTCCAGCAGCAGTGAAAACAAGTAAACATGTTCGAAACAAATATGATTCCAATGTTGGATTTACTCCCAAATGTCATGTCAAGTGCTTTCACATAACTGTGTTACACTATGACCGTTTTCCTTAAAAGAAATCACAATATATTGCCTTGCTTACTGTAGCCAATAAATCGGAATATATTGAATCGTATTGTATTTATTGTATCACCAGATTTTTGCCAATACACTAATTCAAATAGAAAACTCCAGTTTAGACATTGTCTGCCAATTTGAAAATCCACGTGTAGTTACATTATCATGATGGCAGTGTTATGGTTTGGAGGACAGTGAAGGTGATTTGTCAATGTAGTTTTGATTTTAAAATGGGACAAATGGGAAAAATAATTATTTGGCAAAATATTTCATTTGTATATTGGCAGCCACAGACTTCCACAGTAGAAGAAGAATCAGGGGTAATTAACCCAAGAAGTACAAAATAATCCAATAAGTGAAAATACTGGTGGAATAAATTTATGTAAACATTTTTGTGTAGCTTTTTGTCAGCTGAATGAGAACAGAATGATGTCTGTTTTACACCACAGATTAAGCATTTAGCACATGGGTTTATGGAGTAAGAGGTCATGACCTGTGTGCGTGTGCGTGTGTGTGTGTGCTGTTCCAGTGAAACAGCCTCCTCATTGCATCCCACACCCAAAATGAGAGTCAGTGGTTTCACTGTGTGAAATCCTTGTGGTCTCAGTCCTGGCTGCCAGGATTGTTTCTGAGACAGGCTGCAGAAATCCCTCCCTGAGCCTCTCTGCTCCTCCTGACATATTACTGCTCCTCGGACTCAGATTTAGTTTCCCAGACCTCCCCTTTAAGTATTTCTCATGTTAGCTTTAGGTGATGAGGTTATTTCCACATTCCTTAGCCCTTAACTAATCACCCCATCAACAGAAAAACTGTGCTTAGCTTACTGTCATTAGAAATGTTGGTAAAAGAATATAACAATATCTATGCATTGAATATACTATGACATTTCCATAAAATATGTCACTCAGTCAGTTTACTCAATGATAGAAAAGGGGTCCCTTAAGGATAAAGGATTGGGAACCGCTTGGCTAAAAGACTTTGGGCTTTTCAGAAAATATTCTGGGCTGGAACCCAAGAAGCCCCTCGCTCCGCCCCTGCCTCATGAGTTTATATTCACCTTGTGCTTCACTCCAGAGAACTTTGGGAAGGGCTTTGAGATGACGTTGTAGTTGTTTTCCTGAAAGAGCTGAGCATGTTCGCTGAACTTGTCAACAATCTGACTCCACCCTCCCTCCCTGTCCCTCCTGTTGGCTCCAGTCATCATTTAGGTTTGGATAAGAATGATTATTTTCAAGATCTTGCATAACATACATTTATGTAACACGATATCAGGGTTCACTAGTGTTGATGACATAAAATATTTAGTGACAGTGAGTGTAACTTCTAGTCATGTGCTTGACATCACTGAAAATTCAGGCAGGCTCACAGGAGTGCCGTGGAATTTACTGAGCAGACTTTGAACTCTCTGTATTTTAGACACTCCAGAGGTCATCACTATCAGGCCAAAATGTCCACACTAACTGTCTAATTTGTAGTCATGCTAGCAGCATGGCTTTATGGATGGAAATGCTAATCTGAGTGTCAGTCCAATGACTGAAATGTCTGGACAACATCAGATCAAAGACTCTTAATCTTGTCAAACTCTGTACACTGTAAAAAAAAAGTTCATCTAACTTTTAACATTTAAGTTACATTGTGCATTTTAAGCAAAACTAACAAAATTTTGTAAGTTAAAAAAACATTCTTGATCAAATGGCTTTAGTCATTTTAAGTGACACTGACTTAATTTTGTATTTTTACAAATACCTCGCAAAAAGTAATCAGGAATGTTTCTGTAATTTACAAAGAAAGTTAGTGTCACTTAAAATTACAAGTAAAAGCTACTTAATATGGTTGATCACCGTAGTTTCTTTCTCGCGCTTGGAAGGGAGAGTGAAGCAAGGAAGTTGCAATCTGCAGCTACACCACTAGATGCCACTAAATCCTACAGACTGGTCCTTTATGCAATATAGCTGAATTATCATTTACATAGTTCACTTGTATTTATGTTGGTTTATGTTGAGCAGTGTGTAGGATTTAGTGGCACCTACCGCTGAAATAATTGAATACCACTCGCCATGCAAGTGTGTAGGTAAAACTATGGTGACCATGAAACTCTCAATAAAACACTAAAGGCCCTATCTATTGCCGGTGTTTGGTTTGTCTGTTCAGGGCTACTTTAGAAACATGGTGGTTAAACATGATGGACTCCCTCTGTAGATAAAAACAGCTCACAGAATGATTCTAATTTTCAGGTGATTTTACACTAATGGAATATTATATTATATTATATTCCATTTAGATCCTCCTAAATATAACACACTGGACCTTTAACAAACAGAACATAGTGAATGAATATAAAATCAAATCACTATTTTATGATCAGAATGTTGTCTGACAAAATCCAGAAAATCATAGGTTAATGTCAACATCATCAGTGTATTATTCGCTGATGCCACTGGGAGTCACCAAAGTCATACATCCCACACATAGCTTTGGTAGTAGCCTCAGGTCAACAGTCATGTCACAGATGTTAAAGAGTCCCCACACAGGTGAAGACAAACAGTGTCATCTCTCCAATAATCTAAATTTCATCGGTCATACCTTCTGGCTATGCAGCAGCCTGTGTCACTGTGTAACTATATGGCACATAATGGGCCATCCACCATAACAGGAAGAGCCCTGAACTATATGCCGTTTACATGAGGTGTATGTTTTTCTTACTGTTGCTACACACCTTTCTTTCCATCTGAGGCCTGTGTGGACACACAAGTTACAAATAATGAATATGGTAAAAACTAACCATTGCCTCTCAGCTGGACACCATATATTTATTCAACGGCTGCATTTACTCAGACATCTTTATATTGATATCTTTATATTCTGGCACTGAAGTTATACCATACTTAGGTAATCTGTTTACTCACACAATCAGGGAGAGATTGATTAATAGTTCTGTAATATAAAGTAGTCTACCTATTTTTGTTCGGTTTTTTGCAGCTTGGAAGGGCAGCAGCCATACAGTGCACGACTAATCTCCTGTTTGTGGTTAAATTTAGACAACAAAGGCATTTGGTTAAGATTAGGCTATATCCTGTCATCAGCAGATCTAGAGAAATACTCATGGGGTGTCCTGATGGTGGCATGGACACTTTAAGGAGTGGCAGCACTTGCACAAACAATCACTTATGTCAGTATTTGCTTGGAAATTCCCCCAAAGCAAGATATTTCAACTCAGAAACATTACTGTGGCACATTCGTAAAGCACTGAAATATCTAAAGCGGGCAGTATAAATCAATACATTGTTTTGTCTTCTTATATGTGGCCATATAACACACCATTAAATGAATATCCGTTTTCAGCAGGTTCTTTTAACAAGTAGCTTTAACAAATAAGAGATGTGTTCAGTGAACATGTTACTGATATATTCAGTATCATCATTGCAACAACAGATAATTAACAACTGTTGTAAATGAACTGCATTAAACAGAGTTTCTAGAGATTATCCTCACAGTCACTAGGTGGATTTTGGTTGCCCCCCAACCCTGCAGGTCCCGCCTACATAAAGTCGGGCTGCTGATCTCCATTTCGTAACGGACACTCACACAGACAAACAGACAGACAGGACCGAGACACCGGACGAGCCGCTCCTGCTACTTGTCTTTCTCTGCCGGCCAGCAGTTGTTCATTTCCCGCTGTGAGAATGAGTGTGGCGGTGGCGGAGGGCTGCTTTCTGTCAGCCCTGCAGCCCAACTCCTCCTGCACCGCTTATGTGATTCCCTCGGACGGCCCGTCTACGGACCCGGTGGCTAGAGCCAGGAGGGTCCGAGAGCAGGTCCGGATGCGGCTGGCTGAGAAGAAGTCCTCCTCCATGCCCAGACTGGACGACTCGCTGACCGGATCAACAGGTGAGCCACATCCCGTTCAACCACTGGTGCGCGTGTTCAGACCATTAACAGGTGATAGTCATTAAGCTGTAGCCTAATTAACATTTTACCACCAGCACCCATTAAGCAGGAAAAACAATTAAAGTAAGGATTGTAATAAAATGCATTGAAATAAAACACAAATTAAATGATAAGAAAGTAGGGCCATGTTCTGGCAAAACAGTTATATTCAGTTTTTTAGGATACACAATCCAAAAATTCACAGGTTTGTCTCAGAGGCCTTTACATAACACTGTAAAATCATATTTCTGTAAGACTCATCAAACAATAAAAAAATAATATTTTGTTATTGAGTAGGGTTGTAAAATCCCAATATAACAAGAAAAAAAGCATCCTACAGTATTTCTCATGGTAGTTTTACTAAGGAAGGGTTAGAGCTGCATTGATACATTGTCAGACCTTGGGAGAAGTGGAACAAGTTGTAAACACAACAGTGACACATTCTCTTCTTATAAAGGTTTTGTGGGGAAAGTTTTAGCAAACAGTTGCCATTTTAATTCCAGCAGATACAGAGTTAGCGTTTGAGCTTCACCCTTCTTCTGTGACTTCTGTAACCTCGGTCAACTTCTCTCCTTTCCTCTACTTCGATATGCTATGTGCTAGGCTAATCTGTGTTTGAAAGGCAATCGCATTTTGAAGATGGTTAAAAGATAAAAGCAGCATATAATCGCACAATCATCATCACACTGATTAAGTTAATTAACTAATTTAACTAATTAGCTAGCTAATTATTAATGTAATTAATGTAGATTAGCTAGCTTGTTAGCTAGCATTTGGTCTGTAGCAAAAGGCTAGCTAACTAGCCAGTTAAGTAGCTAGCTAATGATTGATGTAGATTAGCTAGCTATTTCAATTCAAAATGGCCGTATTGGCATGGGAAACAGACATTTACATTGCCAACGCAAGTCTAAAATATATGTATATACATATGAGTAAAAAAAAGAAATATAATAATAAGTGTGTGTGTGTGTGTGCTTATGCATGTGTGTAGCTAACTAGCCAGCTAATGATTGATGTGGATTAGCTAGTTAGTTAGCTAGTGTTTTGCTAACATTAGCTAACTTAAGATATGACTATATATGCAGCTTTATCTTTTCACCATCTTTAAAAATGTGGTTGTCTTTTGAACATAGACTAGCCTAGCACATAGCATATCTAAGTACAGGATACGAGAAAGCTGAGCAAGGCCTGCTCAACATTAATTGGAGCACAGAGCAAAAAGGGGCAGGATTTAGGGACTTTTCGCTCTGTTTTTAGTCTCTACCAACTCCTGAGGAAAACGTCCCCTGACTCTAAAGCTGTTAAATGCCCAACTCTGATTCACCAGCTTGTTGCTGCTGTTGGGTGCTTGGCAGGTAGTGTACAGCCTGAACCATTAACTGTATATATGGGGGACAGACCTTCCGGGTCTGTGAAGTGAAGCCAAACGCGGAAGAGGCTTAAACATGCATTCTGTGTAATGACCAGCAGGGGACAGCTCCATTGACTACAAAAAAAGTGATAGCATAGAGTCTTATGAAGAAATGCGCTTAGGCCTACTTCTCACTTGATCTATTAGCTCAGTAAACAGTTTCCTAAGAGAAAGACAGAGAGACAGAGTCAGCTCGCAGGCTGCAAATGGTACTCAAACAAACCAATGGTTATCAAAAGAACCAAAACAATGAACTGAAAAATGCCAAAATATTTCATGATAATTGTTGGTTGGTCACGAGTGACTCTTTCGAAATTATACATTGTTAGAATAAAAATGATGAGTTATGTTAAGTTAAAGTACATTTAAGATGCTGAAGCCAGTGAATCATTGAGCCCATGTAGATAGTTACCTCATTGTCACCTCATTGTTCATAAAGATGTCATGAAACAACATAACAGCTTGTCTAAGGGGTCTGCTGCTCTGCTTGTAAGTTTGGCACTCATTCACCAGCAGCTCATTAAACATTAAACTCACATTAGTCCTGCAGTGTCTTACTCCACTATCCTCATGCAACTGTACACCATTTGAACACAGACAGTGGGGGCTTCTGGGTTTTTGCTTCAGCGGTAGAGGTCATACTGGCAGATGGGACCTGAAGCCCCTCGAGCAGTTCCTGTCACTCGTGTCAGTTGTTGAGCAGTGAATTATGTCAGAATCCCCAATGTTATTTAATGCAGGTGGACTGGACGCAAAGTGCACAGTAATGGTCAAGGTTTTGTATGGTTCAGTTTCAGCAAGGAGGACAGAAGAAATGCAAAGATAAGTTTCTCATTTGCTTGTAAATGTACTAACCATGACAGTTGCATTCTGGGAAATGTAATGCGCTTGCCTGCTGCAACTCTGACCAGTCTGTTAAGATCCATACATAATCACCTGAAAGTAAGAATCGTTACCTTTTTGTTACCTTTAGAATGAGCTGTTTCTACAGACAGTTCAGTGGACTCCACCATGTTTCTCCAGTAGCCCAGAACAGACAAACCAAATAGTTCTAGATAGGGATTTGTGTTTTTTTCGCAAGTTTTACAATATCTGTAGTTTTTCCTACACACTTCACAGCCCGTTCTCATTCCCAGGTTGTAAAATACAGATGCGAGCAGTGTTCAGCTAGTTGCAATCTGCACTTTAACCACTAGATGCCACTAAATCCTACACACTGGTCCTTTAAGGATTGTTTCTCCCAAGTGATTATTATAATAGGACAGAATTATGCTAATTTGATAATTTACCGGTTTATCGTACTGTTGTCACAGAGAGTTGAGCTGAAAGGTGAAGCTCTCGATCTACCGGTCGCTCTTTGTTCCTAACCTCACCTATGGTCATGAGCGATGGGTCATGACTGAAAGAACGAGATCGCAGGTACAAGCAGCCGAAATGGGTTTCCCCAGGAGGGTGGCTGGTGTCTCCCTTAGGGATAGGGGGAGAAGCTCTGTCGTCCGTCAGGGACTCGGAGTGGAGCCACTGCTCTTTTGAGGAGCCAGTTGAGTTGGTTCGGGCATCTGGTGAGGATGCCTCCAGGGTGCATCCCGAGGGAGGTGTTCCTTGCACGTCCAGCTGGGAGGAGGCCACGGGGCAGAGCAAGGACCAGGTGGAGAGATTATATCTCCACACTGGCCTGGGAACGCCTCAGGATCCCGCAGTCAGAGTTGCCTGATATGGTCAGGGAAAGGGAAGTTTGGCGTCCTTTGCTGGACCTGCTTCCGCCGCGACCTGACCCCGGATAAGCGGATGATGATGATGATGATGATGATGATGATGATAATCCACAATAAATGCATGCCCTTGCGCTCCTTATACACTTGATCGGACATGACCAGTGACCGGCTGATCAGTCTCATATATTCAATTGTATGCCGGTAATATGTACACACATGCTGTGATGGCTCTTGACAATAATCGACTGTTGTCACAGACCCACACACAAGCTAAATCATGTCATCGGCCTTGAAGTTTTTTTTTTACTGTAAGTAGAGAAGACATAACAAGACTCCTCCACATGCAGCTCACCTGCGGCACGGATTCACGGGTGAAAATTCAAAAACGTGTTTTTTGGGCAACCTTATAAACCATGCTGCCAAAAAATGAAAGCAGAGCAGACACATGCTAGGAGACTGAAAGAGGCTGGGCGGGGCAAGCCAGTGTGAGTGCAGTAAGAGAGGTAGAGGGGTGTGTGTGTGTGTGTGTGTGTGTGTGTGTGTGTGTGTGTGTGTGTGTGTGTGTGTGTGTGTGTGTGTGTGTGTGTGTGTGTGTGTGTGTGTGTGTGTAAAAGGGGAAAGCAAGGTAAAAGTAGTTTGTGAGTAAACTCTGAAATAAGGTGAAAAATAAAGTAGAAATGAAATTGTGGAATAAGATCAAAAGCTCTGTCTATTCTGTTATTCAGTGTTTTTATTATAAAAATACAATTGAAAAGTTATCGGCAGGTCACCAATACTCGTACAGTCGAGCCAATCCCATCAAAATTTCAACACAAAACAAAAACAGATGTGAACCTGAGTTGTTATGCAACCAACACAGGAAATCTGTTCCACAGCAACATGGGAACTGGTGATGTGGAAATTTGAAATTCCATTTCATCACTGAGTTTTGGTCTTACGGCAACTTGACTCAACAATCAACTAAATAGAGATCCCTGTTCAGTAATGTGGTGGGCTTACTTCAGCTCCAGTTGTGACACATCATGGCTGGGAAGCAGTATGAGAGCTGCAGCATCGCTGAGATAAAGTTGTTCAGAGGATTGATATCACAGGACTTTACAGGCCAGACCATTAAGTCATTTCTTATGAATGTCGGTCATTTGATGCCTGGATTATACGGCTTTACAAAGCCATTCAACAGTTGTACAGTTTGTCATAGATGACAAAGTGTGAATCACAATTAACCTTTACCCAAAAATATATGTAATATATATGTTATTTATCTATGTATATTGTTAACAATATACTGACACGCATATGTGTGCTGTGAGAACCTGTGAGTGTATTATTTCCTGGTCATTTCCTGTTTTTTTTTTTTTTTTTTTTCTCGCTGTGGAAACTTGACATCACAGGTTCCAGTCAGGATGGGTTGGAGTCCTAAATGTTCACATGTTGAACAAGAACTGTATGATCCAAAAGTGATTTATTAAGCACAAAGATCCAGCAACACCTCATGTTCTCTGTAGTGACATGTGCAGGTTTATAATAGTGTCCAGTCAGCTTTAGGAAGTTAAGACGATCCACATCTGTCTCACTGCAGGCCGGATCATGACCTCCCGTTAGTCTATTCAAAAGGAAAGTGAGGTAGAGGAAGGAGAAATCTGTCCTCCTCTCCACTGCTACTCCTTCTCCTGTCTGATAACAGGCCCCCGGTTTGACAAACGGAGGCAGGATGTTGTCTGAGGGCTGCATGTAAGCTTGTGTGAGATATTCTTTTATTAGTAAAATGACTAACCACACATCTCCAAGCCAGCACAGATGGCTTTTCTTTCGACTGAATGTCCTGTTTGTGAAAT